CGGCTGAAGATGTATATAGTTACGTTATAACGCAAGGTTACGGGTCCATAGAGAACTCATGCGTTTTGTTGTCACAAAATCTTTCAAGCCCCTTGATATTTGTTAAAATATTTTTGCAATTTTGGAGAAATTTGTGAATGCTATCATTACTGTTATACGCATTCAACCGTACTGGCTTAAACAGCTGACAGCAGTTTGATCAATACAAGTTACGTCCGGTTAAAGTATTTATATACGTAGTTAGATAAATTGATTATTGCTTAGTTTCTAGAAATAACTGCACAGCTTCCCAATTCGTTTTCCCACACGTCTCGAGAAAATGCGGTTCAGAATAATAACCGCGAACAGGAAAGGTTTTCTCTGTAAATAAATGTGCAGATAAAAAATATTCTTTTATAAATCAAACGTTTACTTACATGAAAATTCTTTTGATGTCGAGATCCATGATGATTTTTAGCATTAGATTTTTTTGTAAGTTAGATTATTCTTTGTATTATCTGTTAACGTTTGTTTATTACAGAAAAAACAAAAGGAATAACCGAATTTCAGATTGTTCTGCATAGAAAGATTAGTGTCTGAATGAAAATATTTGGTTGTATAAATAAAATTAAATTACAATAAAAATAAAATTACAAGCTATGATACATATGCACATTAAGAATGACGATAGAAAACGCACTTTAAAAAATATACATATCTATATATAAAATATCAACAAATGAAATTTAATATCATTCAATAAAACCTGAAAACAACAAAATGCCTATTGACAAAGTGTTAACCTCCTTGGCCCCATAAAATTTATTTTTTGTGTTTGTTTGTATGAGAGTTATGAATGATTAATATTCTGGCGAGATTATCCGATAAAACTTCAAAACAAAAAATGGAATTCTATATCTTTTTATAACGCGCTTTAGATCGTATTTTTATTACGAGACGTCTCTGTGTAGTCTGTGTTGAACCTGTAATTTAGTCGTTACCGATATTTTTGCCTGTCTATACTCGTGGCTTGGTCTGTCAGACGCATTTCGGTATTTAACCGTCTTCAGAGGGTCTGTGTAATTTCTGTAAAGAAAGGCCTCTTTCATAAGACAAGCGCGCTTCACACTCATTACCTTAGACAAGAGACTTGACTTAACAGAAATCACGTAGACCCAATACTAAAGGTGGTGAAATGCATCTGATAAACCGTATTTTTAACTTTATTCTTAAATTTTGAATTAAGTTCAGTGTGGCTCTAGCTTCTCAAATGACCCAATTCTAATGTTTACTGACTACTGATCTAGCGCAAATCTACTCATGTACGTATGTGTATATATATTCAAACATGTACATAGTTGAGCTTTTGGAATTTACAATAAATTATTGGCAGGCCTCGAGTATCACCTTACTGTGATGTTGACAGTCCGGGGTCAGACGTCGCTCCGTCCAGCTGCTGAGATTGGGCTCGGGTGCTGTCAACAGCTAAGTCTTTTTAGCACCCAACGCAATCAGTTGCTAAATCTAAACCCTAAATTCACTCAATTAGGCTGGTGGATTACTTGATATTCTTTCATCACCCTCCACACATATAATAACTAATCTAATTGAAGATGGGGTATACAATATTTCGCCATAGGCCCTCTCGCATTACACATTCATGCTAATAAATACATTCAGTGTCAAGAAGAACCGCAAGACGGGATATCATTAACTACTATATACAATAAAACAGTCTTTTTGCTAGTCTATATTATTAAGAGTTCATAATAGTTTTCCGTTAATTGGGTCAGGAAGTTTGATTTTCCTTCATTGTACCTAAAAAATATTATATGTTCTATGTATCTGTCTTTTAGATTTAGTTCTGTCTGTACGACGTCTGGATTTGACTCCTCATTTTCGTGGTATGGCCTAATGCCACTTTTGTGAAGTGTGTTGCTTTTGTGTTATTGTTAGGTGTTTTCCAATTATATATTGCATGCACTAGTTTTTATTGGTTTTAGTTTAGTTCAGCTTTTTGCTTTTGCTTGGTTTCCAGTTTATCTGTCTTGCATTTTAGTGCTCCATTTTGTGTCGGTGGAGTTGATTTGAGTGCGATTGTATGATGTTGACAGTCACTGCTGGTTTTCTGTATACGCCCAATTGTATTTGGCATCAGTTTTAGCCGTATGAAAGAGACTTGCTTTAACAGAAATCACGTAAATCCAACACTAAAAATAGCGCAATGGCGAAAAGCATCTGATTGACCGTATTTTTAACCGTATTCCTAAATTTAGAATTAAGTTCAATGTCGTTCTAGCTTTTTAACTGGTCCAAATCTAACGTTCCGAAATTTTATTTGTCAAATTATTACACGTTTCAGGATGGCATTGACGATTTTTCTCGAACTCTGAGATTGGTAGAATTCTGGCGCATCTTTTGTACTTCTTTTTATGTATCGATATAAAAGAGATCTTGGTTCCGCTTTGAAACTGTATAAATAGATTCATAAACAAGCGGAGGACCCGATCAATGACCTGATCATTTTTTAACTATTGTCCTCGGCAATTGTTTTTTAATCCTCTATACAACTGAACTAAATATCCCAACTTGTTAATCTATATTCTGACTACGATCGGACATGACCAGAATCTTTTTAGTACTAGTCGATATGCCTTCGATAGTTATTAGTATAAAATATTTTAATGGAAATAAACAGTTAATTTGTACAACAAATCGACAATTTTTCACAATTCTAACAGATCGCTAGAAAATTAAATCCAAAATTCCATCATTAATCGGGTGAATTAAATCTCAACAAAAACACGATACCCAGAATTAGGCACTGTGCAAAAATAGGCAAATGCTTCCCAGAGACTATAAGTACAACCATCTTGCTATTGTACATCAGCAACCTTTCAAACACTATTAAACCTACCTCCATCGTTAACATATATACATGGAAAATGTAGAAAAAATTCTCACAGACCTAAAAACAAATTAATTGGATGGGGACTAAACATTTCGGGCATACAACAATAACAAATAAAATCAGACTCACATTCCTTGAAATGGGGTCTGATTATGATCCGAGCAACATCTTATAAAGTTTTCACAGACTGAGACGGAGAAAGATAATTCAAGAGAAAATTAAATAAACTTCAAAACCAATGAAGGAAACGCGTCAGGCTGTTTTGTGAAAGCCTAAAATATGAGCAATCCAACTTATTAGAGATATATAACTCGGTATTTTAAGCTGAAATAGATTCTATCAATGCCAGTGATATAGAAAATTGTAAGAGGTTACACTGACAACTAAATTCGCAAAAGACCAGACAGCCAAGCAGCCCTAAAAGCGATAGCACGTAAGAAGGTCAAATTCAAAATAGTCGATAAATGCATTAAAAACGCCCAAAGCCTGGGAAAACATAACAACCTAAGAATAGCTTGGGTTGTGAGATTTCTTCATGTGATTTATGGTGGTGATTAATCTGTGACTGGTCGTTGCCGATCATTTTGCTACCCCTATTCTCACTGGGTTGGTCTGCTAGCCGCGTTTCGGCTTTGCGCCATCATTGCCTACGTAACGAGGATAGGCAGACTACATAGGTGCCATACATAGTTGACTCATGATTAAAGAACCCTCACCAAAACCGGCAAACACATGGTTATGGCTAGGCAGGGTAAAACTCTGGGAAGTGATAAGGATATATGCCGGTCAATGTCATCTGAGATAACACCTACAGAACTTGGTTAATTCAATGATGACCCCACAGGTCATGCAATAAGGAGGAAGAAACCGCTACCCATAGCAAACGAATGCGAAGCAACCGCACAATGGCGACATAGGGTACAAAAAGCAAAATTAACTTAACTTCGTAACAAGCAAAAGTACAATAATGCAAAAGGCTTAGGGAAACACCAAACCCCTCCTCGTATCCTCTCATCATCATCACCATCATAACCACTTCACAGAAAACATGGAGTCATAGATATGCAATCTAACCTGTCCTAGGCATAACCTCACTTTTGATTTTAGATATTGTCTTTGCCCCTTAAATATTGTCGTGTGTGCTTGGTAGTTTGCAATAGCCAAGTTTACACACGTTAGAAAAAAAAAAAAAAAATTATTACTATTGCTTCGCTAATTTAATTATATATAGTACGACAGAATTTTTTTTCAAAATGTAAGCATTTTAAATTCGAAGTATAAAATTAACATACATACTATTATCCAAAATGATGTTATTTCACCCTCATATTATGAAATTGTTGTAAACAAGAGAAGTTAACGATAAATAAGTACCGTTCAAAAATAAATTAAGAAGTAAATAATAAAATTTTTGTACATATTCAAATTTGCAATCGTTTATGTTTTAGTTTAAATAGAAAACATGTGTCGTTTATTTTTAATTTTTAATTAAATGACTAATAAAACAATTGTTTTTCGTATTCTCGGATTGTTGTACACAGCTTTCGCATTATAGGTTGACTGGGACATTTAGCGCAGGTCAGGGGATGATTGAACGATCAATCCACCACGAAAATATTATTGAAAGTTGGATATTTATTTATAATATCGATTTTCGTATTGGAAAGAACAATAAAGTCAAACATTATTGTGAAATGTGCTAGGATAGTAAATAAATAAAATTTGGTCGTATTGGTTGCTCTGCGAATGAATTATATCCAGTTAAGTGATCAGTGTAGATCTGTTCAAAAATAAATTAAATTTGATGATTTAGGATTCAGGGTTGTTTTAGATGAAAGATGTGTAACAGGTTGTTTTAATCAAGCCTTCCTCTTTTTAAATATTGGTCAAAGTTTATAAAACGGTTGTATGTAGTGTATTATTTTAAGATTCACATAAAAAAATTCCGTTTTTAACTCCATAATAAAATTCAGGTTTGCTAATCTATCTAGTCAAAAGAGACATTAATGATTTTTATTCTATTCTTCCGTTCTAAACTCCGTAATAAAATTCCGGTTTGCTAAATCTACCTAGTCAGAAAAGACATTAATGTTTTTTATTCTATTCTTACATGTCAGAATTCGATGGACAACACTGGTTTGCCGAATTTCGTGTTGATAAGACGACAGTTCATCTCCTTTCTCCTTGTACAGGGTCTCACCCAAGGTTATATCGCCCTGCAAAAGAGTCGGGATCGATAAACGGTCGTCCAGGTCGGCGAGGATCGACTCTCCGAAACATGCGTAGTTCAAGCCCGCGGGGTTAAAACTTTAAAAATGCAGCGTGAATTCGATAACATGCGTGTGATGAATTTTCAGTTGTACGCTCAAAAAACTCATATTCTGTTGTTTAATTCAAGAAACGGGCTATATTCATTACAGCATGCTTATTTTAATCTAAACCAAATTAAAAGGTCAAAAATTCATGAGTTTCAATGAAAAATATTTAATTACAATGGTTTGAAAGAAAATTAATCAAAACGCCACAAAATCATTTATTGGTATAAAATTTAACAAACGATTTATTATCTCGTTTTGCTCTTAATAACGCGTATTAATTCCTCTGGTATCGCGAAGGGCGTCTCCTAGGCATCGAGTAAATAAGTGACCGGATTTCGTCTTGTGAAACAGAATCCTAATCTTCAACAAGAGCGGTTTGAAGCGGTTTTCTTGAAGGTATTCAATGCTTATTGAAGGCGGTGAATGATTCTATGGTCTAATCCGTCTCTTTATCGTGTCTCTTAAGTGATCTGTAGGATTCATATCAGGAGAACGTGCTGGCCAATGCATTATGATATTCCAAACATACAAGTAATAGGTAACAACTCGGGCTAAATTAGGCCGAGTAACATCACGCATCTTGAATTCGACACAGCTTCCTTAATGTACCTTAATACAATGAAAGATCCATTCTGTAACATGATACATACGTTCCCGGTCATCTGGTTGTCATAAACCGGCACTCATCTTACTAATACTCACTCGCCTTTCTACTTAGTGCCTCTCTAGTAGTACAGATGCGGGACGTCAAGGAACTAGTATGTCCTCACGAAGCTTTCTGGAAACCATTTGGAGTTGATTACCTATCAACGAAGCCGTTTAATGACGGTTTCATAGTGCAGTAACAGCAATAAAACTATCATCTTTACTCGTCGTACATCGCGGTCGACGACCTTCTCTTCGATCTAGACTTCCGGTGGCCCTAAACCGCTGTAGACCATCATGGTTGGTAGAGCGTGGCACACCAGGACTCGAGCTTTGTAACGGCGAGATCTTCTCGACTAAACCTTGCTAAAATTAATAATTAATTTTCTACTCCAATTTATTGTTTCATCAAAGGAAACAAAAAAATCAATAAATCACTCGACAGTTGGCTCCAGAAAGGATTAAATTGTTCTGATATAACGTTTAACAATTTAATTTATCTTTGTCAGGAATAACAAAAACGCCGATGTACCTTCATCAAGATGTACGGTTATCCCAAGTCCATTCTACATCTATATAAATTTGCACCGCATAAAAAGTACGAATAAAAGGGCTGGCGTTTTTCATAAAAGGCTTAATAGTCTGTTGGCACTGTTTTAAAAATTACTATTCCTCTCTCCTCCCACTGATCCTTGTCAACTAGTCGATCTCTCAGTTTACCGGAAACCTGATCGGAAGAATAAGATGAATGTTTATTGTACTAACAATAAGTGTATATAGCCACAGTTCAGTTTTTCGTCTTGTTTGTTATATTTTCCTTAACCGGTCGCAGGTTTCTTTGACGTAACTGAAGAGGAAGAAAAAAGTTTTGTGCCCGGGTTTTTTGGTAGCAACTAGAAGGGCCGATGTAGGTTGTTGGAGCTATTAAGCGCCGTGGCTCTTGAGCAGGCGACGGCTGCTAGTCACGTCGGATGTCGATGCGCCGGATGTTGGCAGCGAGGGGCATATCTAGCAGCTATGTACGCTGTTGAGAGTATACTACAGAGGCATATATTTGCGACTTGCTCCATTGATGATATCTCGTCTCTGAGGTTGAGCCCATGCTTATATATAGGGGTGCTGCAATTTCATTGGCTGCGTAGAAGGCGGAACTATTGCTGAAGGAAACTGTTGTTAGCCACAGGCAGTCACCAAACACATGCCAAGTATACCAACAAATGATTGAAAGAAGCTGTGGGATCCTTTTAGTGCTGTGCACAAGTTAGAACACGAAACCAAACAAAAAGGGGTACCAATCCACAACGCAACGGGTGGTTTTTGTCTCTAAAGGAAAGATTATTAAGGCCATCATATGGACAGAACAAAGAGAAGGAAAAAGGAGAGTTGGGTGGACGCAAAGGCAAGAAATCAAAAACAAACCTGGGTCCAACTCCAGCCTAAAACCAACAACCGACCTATCACTCCCAACAGGACCTTAACCTACTGGTCGAATAGCGCAGCAACAAACTAACATAAACAACATAACATAACAACTAAAAACAACATTGCTTGAGGTAATCATTGATACAGAAAAGTCCTTTGATAAATACTTAACACGACGAATTATTTTTTGAAGAGAAGTCATACTTATCCTCCATGCATAAATATAACAGCATGGATCCTCCAAAATTTGTCTACGTCCACACCTATAGCATATCTCAATGGACGAACTCTTTCAAATATGACAGACCTCAAGCCACGTCCAGGCCTACGACATCAGAAATATCTTAGATACTAGGGCCTTTCTTTTATCTAATAGGTACTCATGATTTACCGTCATCAAATACATATAGAGTGGTACTTTTTTTTTGCGTTATGAACTATGCATATTAGCCATGTGACAATTCGTATATGTGTGTACAAATGGGGGGGGGGGTTATTGTGAAAAAAGGGCCAGAGGCGACGGTGGGAATCGAACCCACGACCGCGGCGTGAGAGTCTCTCATGCTAACCTAGTGGTCCAGTTTGCAAACGATTTGACAATTATAATAAGAAACTGATCATTCTCATCAAGATCTACATTTCAGATAATCTGATTCGATTATCTGAAATGCCTATTCCTATTAGTTCTTCTGTTCGTTACCTGGGTGTTTATTTGATTTCAAATTAAAATAAAGGTTAAAACGAGACTGCCTCTTTACGACTTTACCCACCGCGACCAGTATTGTGACTTCTCCAATATTGTCTAGGTCATGTAGGTAAGCTTAAGACATTTTATGAGATCTCAAAACTTTGTCTAGGACTTCAGTGTGTATCTTTCATGCCTGGGTTTTTCCTCTCCCACGAATAGTAATCTCAGCCTGCAGGACTTGTGACCACTGCTCCTAAACATTCCTCCAGTCTGTAGTGTACTATCTTCTAGTTCTAACAAGTCCTTGGTTTGATTTGCCGTTATGGTCTACGATGGTCCTTTGATGAACTTTTTCGCATGCCTATGTCCTGGAATGGATTCCCATTAAAGGGAGGACATATTCTCAATTCTTTGTCTTATGGATCTACGTGTTTGGCAATTTGGTAAAACGGCCGATAGATGCCCTCATTCCGAATATTCCTTGGCCAATTTATCGGCTAGTTTTCAATCGAAACTTGAGTTTAACAGGCCAAATATCTACTTTCAAAGTTTCGTCAAAGGTTATGACAGCTGCGACACTTGCTGGGCAGCAAATCATCCTTTGGATATTTAGATTCTGAAAGGTTACTATTTTTGTCTAATCTGACAATATTTTGATTTTGGCAGCTGCCGCATATCTAAACAAGATTCTCCGTTAGCCCCGGGGTATGTTGGCAATAATACCATGCACAATAACTTTGAAAGCAATTACCGAAGTAGCCAGAAAAACCTCCAGAGCACTTAAATCAAGGATAACATTGGATTGGTATAGCTCAAATTGCGGCAAAACATCCTCCAGATCGCCTTCGATTCAATTGAAAACTTCCGGATGACTTCTTGATAGACGATTCTGTTATTGTACAATAATACTGTTGTGTTAATAAAAAACTATGGATCGTTTGTCGAAAGGAATAGACGTTAATATATATGTCATTATCAATACAGTCATAGCGAGCTTTCAGGAAGCTAAATTTTAACCTTAGGTTACTGTTAGTTTAAAAACCTTCACGTAGGGTATGATAAATCAATGGCGCAGTATGGTTTCGGTCTTTAACCTTCACATTCCCTTTATCTGACGGCCTCGTACTTGCATTCGGCCGGAATACCTATTAGATATTTTACATGCATTAGAAATGGGTGCTGGCTGCTCACTGAAAACCGTTGAAAGGACCCTTTTGAAAAATCCAAAAGGCACAACGTCTGAGGGGATTAAGATGTGACAGTTAATTGATCCTTTTCTGCTTGTAGGCCAAGTTGGTCCGACTAATCAGAATTCATAGTTTTACAAATTAAAAAAAAAATGTTTTTATGATTCACTTAATCACAATAATAATAGGAAGGTCTTGGGAATCTAGGGAAAGAGTATCGATTCATACAGGAACAATTTCCGAACCGCTAAAGAAGAAGAGAATTTCTATATAGTGAGCAAGGGGATAGAACGGAGGACTGCGTTGACTAGATAGATTATGATGATTACTGTTTTCATAATCTTTCGAGGAGGTTGAGATATATTGTAGGGAGTAATTAGGTCGTAACCAGGACTCTTCGTTTCCCGATGATTAGGGATGACATGCTTGACTTCTTGGGAGAAAATGGCTTGGGAGGAAGTGAAAAGGCGCACTCTAGGTACGAATTTACCATTCATTATGCGCCGGAGTGTTGGCGGGATAATGCTGTCTGTAGGATTTTGGAAACGGCGACAAATTCAGATAATTTTCCCATTTATTATTCGATTTTGGCTTCACCGGTCCATTTAACCGTTCGGTGCGACAGAGAACAGATTTGATTCCAGGGGCGACGGTGGGAATCGAACCCTCTGTCCGCGAGATCTACGAGGGTTTGACTCGCCAACCACTCATAGACCAAAGCATCTCTTTCGCTAGAGAATCGTGTTGATTTGATGCCAATATTTCTCAAGTACCCATTATGACCGCAGCTCCATGCCCCGAATTAGATTATTTTCCTGCTTCTTTGATGCATTCTAGTTTATTTCTTTTTAAAGCTCACTAAGAAGTTTTTGGGTTGTTGGCGTCCAGCGAGGGATTCATATTGATTCTTCACTACCTTCTTTACTAAGATTATGGATACCGAAAAATG